GGACTTAAAGGATGCATATCACCAGCTGGAGCTCCATCCTGACAGCAGAGACCTAACGACTTTTATAAGTCATCAGGGACTCTACCGGTTCCGGCGCGTCAACTTCGGCCTCGCGAGCGCCGGGCCGTGCTTCCAGAGAGTGATGGCGTCCATGCTGGAGGGGGTGCCAGGCGTGGAGGTATACCTGGACGACATCCTGGTCCACGCGCCGTCCCAGGCCGAGCACGACGCCCGTCTGAGGGAAGTGCTGCGGCGTTTCGATGCCCACAAGGTGCGGGTCAACTGGCCCAAGAGCGTGACGAATCAGAGCGAGCTCTCCTTTCTGGGATATCTGGTCTCGTCAGCTGGTGTCCGCATCGACCGGGAGCGGATCAGGCCGTTATTGGAGGCGGCCGAGCCGCGGGACGAAAAGAGCCTGCGCGCATTCCTCGGTGCCGTAGGGTACCATGCGCGGTTTCTGCCGCGGTTCTCGGACGCAGTAGAGCCGCTGAGGGCCGCGCTCCGGGCGGACCAGTTCGAGTGGACGGCGGCGCTGTCCAGCGCGGTCCGCCGCGTCAAGGACGCGATAAGCGAAGCACCAGCACTGTGCATGTTCAGCACGGAGCTACGAACGGTGCTCTCCACTGACGCCAGTGACGTCGGCTGCGGTGCGTGCGTGACGCAAATGGACGCCTCGGGTCAGCCCAGGGTCATTGCGTACGCCTCGAAGTCTTTCTCGGCGGCCGAACGCAACTACTCGGTAGTGGAGAAGGAGGCGCTGGCATGTGTATGGGCCGTCGAGAAGTTTCGCCACTACCTGTGGGGTCGGCGATTCACCCTCCGAACCGATCACCAAGCTCTCTGCACCATTTTCGGTGTCAAGGGCTCCAACCGCGTCGGCCGGCGAGTCGCGAGGTGGGAGGCCCGGCTGCTGGAGTTTGCGTTCGACGTCGAGTACGTCAGGTCGGAGCGGAACGGAGTGGCGGACGGCCTGTCCCGTCTGCCGGTCGCCGAGACCTGGTGGCCTGATGATGATTCTATCCAGATCGCGGCTCTGTCGTTAGCAGCAGCAGTCACGGAGGAGGAGCTGCGGGACGCCTCGGCGTCAGACGAGTGTCTGGACGTGATCCGGGGGTACCTCGCCGGACGGTGGCCTCGCCAGAGGGATGTCGATCCTCGGGCGACTGGTTTTTACCAGGTGAGAGACGAACTGTCCCAGCTCGGACCGCTGCTTTTCCGCGGCGAGCGACTGGTTGTGCCGGCGGCGCTGCGTGAGCGCGTCCTGAGGAACGCCCACGAGGGTCACCAAGGTGAGACAAGGACCAAGCAGCGCCTGCGCGCGCAGTTCTGGTGGCCGCGGCTGGACAAGGAGGTACGTGATCTCCTGCGGAGCTGTGAGGTGTGCACGCAGCATGACGGCCACGTGCGGCAGGAGCGGCCCCCTCTCCAGCCGATTCCTCTTCCGGACGGTCCGTGGCAGCGCCTCATGATCGATGTGATTGGGCCCATGCAGGGGCCCCAGCACGAGCGGTACGGCATCGTCTTGTGCGACATGTTCAGCAGGTGGCCAGAGGTGGCGCTGTGTCGGGACGCGACGGCGGCGTCTATAATCAGCTTCCTGGAGGCGGTGTTCAGCCGCGAGGGGTTGCCGTTGGAGCTGGTCTCCGACAACGGTCCAGCGTTCCGGTCTGCCCAACTCCGTAATTTTTTGACCCGACTGGGGGTCAAGCAGACTTTCAGCTCACCATACTCTCCGCAGTCCTGCGGCATGGTGGAGCGTCTGAATCGGACGGTAAAAGACGCCATCCAGTCGGCCCGGCTGGCCCGGGAGCCGCGCTCGGAGTACTTGAGGCGGTTCCTCACTGAGTACCGGGCTACCCCGCACGCAGGTACGGGAGAGACGCCGTTCCGGCTGATGCGGGGGCGGGAGGCACGGACGTTGCTGGACGTCGTGCCAGGTGAGGTTTCCTCGCCGGACACCGGCGGTGAGCTTCGTGCGCGACACGAAAAGTATCAGGCGGCCTACAAAGCCAGATATGACCGGGGGTCGACCGGCGCCCCGCGCTGGCGCGTCGGCGACTGGGTTCGGGTCCGACAGCCGGTGAGTGGACGTGTGGAGGGCCAGAGGGCCGTGCAGATCAGCCGGAGGACTGGCCCGGTAAGTTACCGGCTCACCAGCGGCGAGCGTGTCCACGCTAGACGCTTGGTGCCCGGCCGGCCAGAAGGTGAGGACGCGGCCGCGCCGCGGGGTGGTCCCGGCGGTGGTGCTTATCCAGTTCCTGAGCCCCGCCCCACGCCAGTGCGCACCCGCTCCTCGGCACTCAGAAGTCCTGCTCACAGCCGCTGTCCAACCCCAAAGTGTACCGCCCCGGCGGGTGAGCCAGGGCCCCGCCGTAGCAGGCGGGGTCGCAGAGGCCCAGATCGGTTCACTCCGGGCGAGTAGCGTTTAGGATTGGGCTATCATCGTAAGTTACGTTTGATAGCTGTGAGTGTAATGGTTTCCGCGGATAGTGGGAGGCTTAAGAAGCGGGAGTGTTTCCCATTAAAGAGAGGGGTGGTGTTGTGGCGAGAACTAATTTAGTGGCGCTGACCGCGCAGCCGATTGGCGCGGACGCGCAATTATCGTTTGAGTTTTACGCCTTTGTTGATAGTGTTGGTCGTTGCGGTGATTATGATTTTATATTACGATCGACACTTAGTTAGTAATATGTTTGGTTCGAAATGGCTTTGTTCAGTTTCGATCCTTTATTTCGCATAACCTGTTCACCCCCTCTCTTTATGATTGCCAACTGTTTTGGGTCGTAAGGACGAAGAGGTGTCGAGTCACCTCTAGAGCTTCTTCCGTTCTTGACCTTGGCCGAGATAGTGCCATGTGTTTTTCTGTTGTGTGTGTGGGGGAATAAACCGCAAGTGAGGCGGACGCAGGTTTGTCCAAACCTCCCCCACCCCGAGGGCACAACAGCTTTCACGATCAAAAGCAACATACCCATACATGCATACATATATACATGTTACAACATACCCCACCCGGCTCTGATACAACATGTACCTCGCCGCCATCTTGGAAAAAACATCCTCGTGCTCAAAAACAGCGGACAGCTGGAGAAATCCATTTTCACTCACGCAGCCTTCGAACCTACCCTCACCACCGCTACGGAGATCTTTCAAATTCGTGCACATCTAAATGCCCAAAACACATATTTTCTTGCAACTTATTTTTTTAGAATGACATTAAAAAAAACATAAAATCGGCTCTCACCTCGAGACGCGTCCACCCAGCCACACGACAGAACAGGGAAAGATGGCGCCCGGAAAACCTCGTCGGCTGGTCGTGTCACGAGCGCCATCTATTGGATAAGTTTGGCACAATTCGCCCTGATACAACTTGGACATGATACAACTCTCCCGCTCTCCCCTATGCATTGCCCGGTGGGTGCCTTCATGCATGCCAAGTCTCAGCGAAGTCGCCCCCAGTAGTTGCTGAGTTACTGTAATGGGAACACATTTAACACCTCTTCTGTTCTTTGCACTTTGCACGTGCAGCGGGGGTCACTCACGTGCACCAAGAGTATCCGATGTTTGTAAGAAGGGATACAGCTACTCTACAAAAGTTACCGGAAGTCAATCGCCCCAGTGGTTACTGAGATATAGGCCTCTCAAAATTGTTACTCCAGCAGAACGACTTGAACACCCCGACTTTTCACGTGCCACGTACTGCGACGGTCACCTGAATGCACCACGATAAGTGAATTGCGGGACAGAAAGGATGGAACTACCCAACAAAAAAGACCGCAGGCGAATCGGCCCAGCGGTTGCTGAGATATCAGCCTCTCAAAATACTGATTAAAAATCCGTCATTAGAAATAAGAGGCCAAAGTGGCCTCTTATTTTTCGCGCCAAAAACGAGTGTCCAATCCAGGTAGTTCATGTTTTCTATGGTAAGATGATAATGATATGATTAGGGTAAGTGAAGATGAAGAAGGTATGAGATAAAGAATGAAAAACGAGAACTGTATAACCCTGAATGAGGATACCTATAGTGCATTAGACAGCATAGGTATGATGGAACAACAGGAGAGCCGTGGGAAAAAAGAAGAAAACAAAGCGGAACGGAGCAAAAGTGAGTGATCAAAAATGACAGGAAGAGTGGCATAACTGTGAAGGCCGGAGGGGCATGATAGAAATTGACAGAGAAAGAAAAAGGAATAAGAGCGGGTGAGAGCAAGAGCAAGAGAGAAAGAGAGGGATAGGGAGAGAGAGAGCCAGAGGAGAGAGTACCAGACAGACACATCTGTGTTTGGATTACGCAGACAATCCGAGTCCGGCGCCGGGTCCCGCGCTGAGTGCCTCATTGTCGACTCTCCTTTGAATTCTGGTCTGGAAGTGTATCGATTCTCCGGGCCGTGCGGCCGCCGCCGCAGCACTCTCGCATCCGGACGACACCTGGACATTCTTGCACGAGACGGGAGCGCTCCTTGAAACTGGGCCCGGCTGCCGGCCGCATTCCGGCGTAATGTCCCCATAGTGGATGTGTAATTAATGGCGTCGTTCCTCAGGGAGACAGACGGATGGCTCGGCGCGCTGCAGTCGTCTCGAGAGCCTGCTTTCAGGTGGCGCAGCGACTGCCGTGTGATAAACGAGAAACCTTCACAGAGTGAAATGTTCTCAGTTCTTACCAATTCTGAGTATGCATCCACAGTGAATCTTCCCCCTTCAGGGTTCAGAAATAATGTCGCTTAGAATATTCTATTCGATTGTTTAGGCCCATTATGATGGTAGAGTATCTAAAAGCAATTGCTTATTAGCTTTATTCTCTCATTCATATAACTACTAGATTTTATCGTTATTTCTTAACTGTCCTAGGTGTCCTAGCTGCATCCTTTTGTATAATTACTGATTACCGGACAACCACTGCCTCACTTGACGCTGCCACTACCAAATGTGGAACATCGTTCTTCGTGAAAATAATTTTATCACTCGCATTATGTGCCATCAATTGACTGTTCATTCTGTATTGACAGGTACACCCACACCTGACCTAGAGGATGAGGACCCGCCAGCTTCTTGGCCCGGACCACTGGACTCGTCTAGCCAGGACGAGGCACCTCCGCTCCCGGCGGAGGTGTCTCGTGCAGGACCTCACTCCCCGCCGCAGAACACTCTGACTCCCGACCCGGCCCCCTCTGTGCCGGCCGCTCGGAGGCCGGTCGGGCTCACACCCCGCCGGCGGCGGCCGGGCGGCGTCACACACCGGCGGCGGCTGTCGATATCTCCGCGGCGCGGCGCCGTCACTCGGGTCCGCCGTCCCGGAGACACCGCGAGCCGCACCGAGAGCCCGTCCGTGGTGGCTCGTCCGCCTGCAATATCATCAGCGGCCGGGGGCGCGCATGGCGCCGGATCCGCGGCGTTTCCGGCGCGCCGGAGACGACCGCTGCCGCGTGGGAGAGGAGTGGAGAGCGGACTGACGTCCCCCGCGGGAGGTGACGAGATTTCAGCGACGCCGCACGCGGTGGGTGGTCCGGTGGAGGGTGCTGAGAGAGGTGGTGATAGTCGTGTGGGTCAGGCCGGGGATCAGGATGGTGGTGGTGGCGATGTTGCGTCAGTGTTACCCGATAGTCGGGCGGAAGGTGCCACTGATGAGGGTGAACCCGTGGATTATGGCGATACCGGCTGTAATAACGGTAATGGATGCAGGAAGAGTGGAGGTGACTTTGAAGGGGATGTATTTGGATCTAATGGAGCCTCACCGGCTGAAGGCGATGCATTGGTAGAAACGGACTCAGAAGAGGAGATAGAAGAAGAGGACAGCGATCTTTTGATGCTTGAGGAAGAAATGCAATCGATCTCGACAACTATGGATGCAAATAAAGTACTTGACCGTACGTTAGAAGATTCCGATACAACCCCAATCATCTTTCCATCGGAAGACCCACGGTCGGAGGGAAATTCGGGGCACAAGAACTGGCTCGGTGATCTCCCAACGTTTTTGGTTCCTCCGAAAATAAACCCGATCAATACAATAAACCGTAACGACCATCCAACGTCGACCGCATCTCCAGATTTTACCGAGAAACGCGACGAAACCATCACTATAACCCTCGAACAAATGACAGTCACCGAAAACATCAACACCTCCAGTGAGAACAACGATCAACCATTCGACCCCGACCGGAACAAATCCAGCGCCATCCTCCTCGGGACGCCAGCGGGTCGAGAGGACGAGGGGCGGGGGCTCGCCGCCGGTGCCGACCTGCCGTTCTACATCGTGGTCGCGCTGGCGGCCGGCGGCTGTCTGCTGATCCTGGTCACGGTCTCGACGGTGGCCGTGAGTCGACGGCGACGGGCGGCGGCGCCCGCGCCGGCGGCGGGGTCCGTGTTCGAGCCGGAGCCGGGCGACAGGGGGCCGATCGCCGAGCTGATGCGTCAGAACCGGCTGGACCACCAGGCGGTCGTGCCGGCGCCGGTCAGCCTGTGACCGGAGACCAGTGGTCTGATCAGTCTGTGGCCAAAGACCAGTGGTTTTATCGGTATGTGACCAAAGACGACTGGTCCAGTCTGTTACCAAAGACAAATGCCGTACCGGGGGCTCGGCAACAGTGATAAACACGTAGATCTGTACAGCGAGTGTGGCGTGCGCATGCGGCGAGATATTATGGCATGTGCGTGTCTGCGTGCGTGTGCGTGGTGTGTGTCGCATGTGTTCCAGAATCCAGATAGCGACATTCTGTCAGAGACCTGTTGAGATATAACAGAGTGCGAACTTTTTTGGTGTAAAAGGTGTTAGTTTTTTTACAAAGTGTATGCATAGCCCATAATCACTTTACAATAAATGCAGCAGTGCCAGCAGTGTGGATATTTGCGTACACGGGTGTAACAGCTGGGCCGTGGATGGGCGCAAGCGCATTGACAGATCCAGGGGGGCCTGATTTTGCACCGACCTCGCTCAACAAAAATATTATAAACATTTTTGGCATGCGTAACTCAATCATTTTGTCAAATTAAGACCATTTGAATTGCTTCACGAAACATTCACTGTAATCTTTCATTGGTTCATTCTTTGCGCTGTTCCATTATTTTTGTTGCGCTTTGTTTGGTCAGTGCTTGTTTTTTACACACGCCGTTAGATATACCCCCGTTCTAATGATGCTGAATACAACTGCTCATAGTATCAACTTGCACATAATACAACTTGCAACGTCTTCTCATAGCATCCTGCCAGCTGCCGGCTGGTTTCCGGCAGTCTCTCAGTTGCACGTGCAGACATATCCGGTCCCTATCGACAAACGCTCTGCGCGCACTTCCGCAGCGGCCAGCGGCTGGTCAGCACCCGGGTCACGTGTTCACCGCGGACTGTGTGGAGGGGAGGGCACCCCAAAACTGCCCCTCCCCCCACCTCTCCTGTCCGCTGCGCGCCCTCAGGCCACGTGTACTGACTGCGGAAAAAGCGGCCGCTACCGCGAGACGCGATGACCCAGAGACGATTGTGGGGCTAAATGGTGGCGGTCAGGTGACAGTTTGGATCGGCGGGAAAGTTGGACTGGGTCCGAGCGGAGCGGGAAAGTTGTGACGCGACCTGGAACATGTCACAGGTCACGGGGAAGGCAAAACAGCGCAATCACCCTGCAGCGCAAACTTGTGGTTGACATGCACTGGAGGTTAGTACGGGCGTATAATGTAGGTCCGGACGTCATTCAGCCGTGCATAGTTCAAATGATGGCGGTCGGTCGGCGTTCAACTTGTCGAGACGTTTGACCGAATTCCAGGTGACCTAGTCACTCAAAGTTACGTTTAGACCGACGTATCATTTTGTACTGTTCTGTGGTTACCGAGCTCTCGACAGTTAAAGGCACGAAACTTTTTTAGATTAATATAAGTGTTTTCCTAATCTGATATGTTTAGTTTTTTATTTACATGTAAGAGATGGTCGTTAAACACAGGGCTGCCACGGATTCAGCTCCCAGTAATCAATCCATCTTCTCAGTTCTCCCCCGCACACGGCAGTCGGTTCAGGGAACAGGACAGACAAAGAGTACTCGTAAGTAGAGCGTTTACCATCCGACCGTCACGGGTCGGGTCAATAACTGGTGTTTGACAGCTCGGTGTACACTGGACACTGTCGGCTGTTACTCAGGTCAAGGATGGGTCCATGATGGGTCCATGACATCAATGGTCGCTGTTTTAGTGCCACCAAAATAAGATAGAATAAGCTGCACACGCTTTGTCTAAACTCGTTGAGCTATGCGATATTATGCCTACTGCACATAAGGCCAAAAGGGCCAAACGAGTTAAAGAATAAAGTGTTCGAGTCAATACTATTCGGTAATGCTTTGGCAAATATGACCTGCTATTTTAAAACATTGTAGATATTGGAATCCACTATACACACACTCGTGCCATATGGCATGACGTTTGATGATCAGTTTGGCAAACGCTTTATGTGGGATATGTGGGTGGCCATTAGTGACTTAGCCACGACATTCAATGGCCCTATTTGCCAGCTCTACTTTTAGCCTGACAATTAGGTACGTTATATTTGTATATAGCACATTGACATGTCGCTCGATTCAAAACTGAAAATAGGTACGCCTGTGAACGTCATGTGACCAGATGATGTTTCTAGTATCAAGTATGACGTGACCATACGGCAACACCGTCGTGAGCATAAATCCTGTTTTTATTTTGCGTTGCATAAAAACGCTATTTGGCGCTTCGCAACGACCCCACATCTTCGCCATAAAGCCGCTTCATATATCACAGGGAATCTTGTCCTCCATACAACATGCCTACTAAAGTGCTCCCTAAGCCCCTGGCCTAATGTGGGCAGGGTTATCTGCGGCGGGAGAGCTGCCCACTTCAGCCGCCGCCGTCCGGGGGCGCCCGCTCACGTCTTCAGCTCGCCACGTTAGCTACCTCAAAGACGACAGAGTCCCTGTCGTCTGCGGCGGCGACACCGCGCTGATGAACTGCTGATGAAGTTCCTGACTTGTTTTAATGGCATCCTAAAACTTTCTGAGACGTCGCGGTCGCTTCACTGTGGTGGTGTACAGTAATGACTTTAAGCGCCAATGATTAGTCAATAGGTCCTTCCCTCCTTTCCAGTTTATGTTACAAAAAGAGAAGAAGCTGTTGTATTTCTTGTCGAAATAAATTGATGGTTTCATCGTTTATTGCCCCTCAGCCTGCTTAAGTTGCACGAACTAAACGCTCAATAGATGTAAGACAACTTTGTGTCGTTGCCATAAGGATGCTTCGCCCAGACGTTATAACTTCAATATATTCACGCTAGCGATTTTAATGACGCCTATACCTCAATGATGCAACGATGCAAACCAATAAGTTGAATGAGACACTGGTAATATCAGGTAACATTGATTAACCCGGCAGTTGCTGGGGTATTTCGCCACCCACCGTTTGCTGGGGGGGGGGGGGGGGCGTTAAACGCCCCCAGCCGATAACTCGAGAACCAATAGGCGCAGCGAAACGCACGAGGCGGCAAACGAAAGAGCGCGACGAGACGCTTCAGATGAATACTTTAAAGTTGAATTTTGAGGTCACAGGTCGGGTCAAGGTCAGGTCAAACACCTGAAATCGGACTTTCAGTAGCATGGACTTCAGGACTTCGCAATGGGCGCCTCTCGCCATAAACTCTGTCAAAACGGTGCACAATCCATCTTATAAGGCCTACAAGAGTGTCAGCTCCATATAGGGGTCAGTCAAGCATAGGTCAGGGTCAAGGTCAGGTCAACCGGGTAGGCACATATCCCCGAAAATCAAAACTGATATTCGCAGCCTGTGACACATGTTTTATAGGTAATTTGAGGCGTAGAACACGATGGTGACATTCATTTTATCATATGTGTACGTGTTTGACTCAAAAAGTTCAATTTAAGAAATTCATGTATCATGGTCGTGAAGTAGTCACGAAAAATTGCCAAGATTCAGTTCAAGATTTTGGAAAATGCTGAACGATAATCAATAATCGAAGATAGCCATTTGATTGATCATGGTATTGGCAGTCTAATGGCGTTTACGGCATGTCTGTATGTCTATTCTGTGATTTTATATGATTTTTTGAACATATGCCGTTTTTGGTCGAAAACTCAGAAATCATGACGTCACTAAAACCTCGATATCTCAAAAATTTTCCGACCGATTTTTTTGAAACTTTGTTACAATAAACTTCAATCAATTCCCTACAGGTACCCAAAATTTGGCGCGCCTGCGGCGCGCCGTTTTTATGCTATGGCCCGGCGAAAAAAGTGGGGGCGTTTAACGCCCCCCCCCCAGCAACTCGCGGGTTAACGCCGTCACCCGATCAGCCAGGAGTGGTAGCAGCATCTGCCGGGAGTTTCGAGAGATCTGCAGCACACCAGGTAGTCACACTATATGATCCATTAGGCAGCCACCCCTCCGTGCACTCTGAGCGACACGCCACACCCGACCGTGAACTGGCTCGTGCTGTCCTCAGCGGGACTGTGATGAACGGCGGGACACCCCCGTCACCTGGAGACCCACGGAGAGGCTGCGGCGCAGCGCCCGGACCGGTCGCGCGCCGCTCGACCAGCTCCAAATGACTGTATCAGTGCGGTGCGACACCGGCATCATTCACCCGTCCGCTGGCGGCGCCGCCGACTCTGTGACCTAATCACCCGCACTTGACTCAATTCATTTCTGGGTTACACCAAGACCCGAAGCTATTGATTCTCGGCCTTTCGGCGTCTGAATTATGGCCGCTGCGGTGGCGCCTCGCTGCGGCGGTCGCTGGAAGCTCGGTCGGCCGAGCGCCCCTGGCCGGCCAGTGTGTGTCACAGACCGGGCCGGGGATGGCGGCACGCGCGGCTGACCTGTGACCTGACCTGACCGGCCGGCATGGCGGTGCGTCTGGGCGGCCCGCTGCCGCTGCTGCTGCTGCTGGCCGCGGCGGCCGCTGCCAGCAGCAGGGACGGCAAGGAGGACATCCATATCGCCGGCTTCTTCCCTATGACGGCCGGCGAGCTGGGCGTCAGCAGCGACGGAAACGACCCCGGCGAGCTCGGACGGGGCGTCATGCACGCCGTGGAGCTGGCCGTCAAACACGTCAACAAGGCCAGAGACGTGCTGCCCAGCGTGCGGCTGCACGTCACCTGGAACAACACCCAGGTAGGTGGCGGCCCGGCGCCGCGGCGGAGGGGCGGACAGGACGCGCGTGAGGGTGTCTCTGTCACGACAGATACAGACGGCAGTTTGTGGAAGCGGAACACGGGAGTCCGGGGCAGTTTTGTGCCGGGGTAGGATCACTGGCGCTGGTCGGCGTCCGGCTGCAAGTTTGCTATCGGGGCTATTGGGCGCCGAAGTTCTAAATCAAATCTAAGTTTACGACGGCTCGTCGATTTGACATTGACGTTGATGGAAGAAGAGTCCGCTATTAAGTTTATTGATTGATGCTATCCACTGCCGAAGGGCTGCAGTCGGTCATCCCCGCCACTGGGCTAATCTGATTTCGGACGAGTTATTCGCGAAATGACTAAATAAGACGTATGCATTTTCCATGCACTCCAACCGGTACGTGATCAGGGCCGATATGGCTGCCTCGGGTGGAACCAGCCTGCTGCAATATTGATGCACCGAAACTCCCTTCCGTGCCGGGGACAAAGCTGATGGGGAGGGACTTCGTAAGTCCTGGGAGCTGATTAAACTGTCGACAAGTGGTGGCACCTCCCATCCTTGAAACGAGTGACCGTTCTAACTGGCACACATTTTAGTAAATAATCAAAAAGCATATTTTTCCATGTATTCGCTTTCTCTGCCCTAAGGTGTAATTTTTGTAGGCATATCTTTACTTGGAATTTTATCTTTTTAGATACCGCCTTTGTGCAGTGTAGGCAGGACACTAGGCAGGTAAAGGTGACCGAAATAGGTGCTAAATTTTGCTTAATTAGAACTTTTTCTTCGAAAATGGGTATAGTCTCCTCCTAAGCACCTGTTTGTATAACAGACTCCAATTCATGCATTGTTCTTCGACTGTAGATTTAGGTATACCTAAACTAACGGTTGAGATAATGGACGAGTTCCATTACTTGAAAATCATATTGGATACATTAACGCGCATAATAATGAAACGGAATGCTCGTTTCAAAAACCTAACGTGCATAAAGCTAAAAAGCTGCAGAAGAGGACAAAGCTGTTTTCTGTGCATAAGTGGATGCATAGACCACTATATACCACTATATATGGTATATAGTGGTCTATGATGGATGAAATGTGTACCTACCTATAACGAAGGTTTATTTAATCCGCAATTGTAAACATTGATGTCAAAGAAATACGCCTGCCTCATTGGCTCACGCTATCAATCAAAAATGATTTCCTTTTCGACGGAGGTAAGAGGTTACTCCTAAGTTGACAAGAGACCAAGTAAAAGAGGAATTTTGCGCCCACCGTCCGTTGAAACACGGGGATCGAGCTGACCACCCGCGCCGCCGGGGGCTAATGCGGTGCAAAATGCCGGTGCTGCTCGCGCCGGGTCCATCTGGCCGGGGTCGGTTTGACAGCCGGGGCGCGCTGGCACCATTGTGTCGTCGTGTCCGGTGGGCGGCCACCCTCTATGGACCGGCCATGGCGCCGAGTGGCTGCTTCCGCCGCCTGCCAGCCCTCTCCCCGAGCCATTCCTGGAACCGCGCGCGCCGCGCCCACCAAATACCACCCCCAGCCAGCCGTCCCAGCGACGCCGCTATTATGAGCCGTCAAACGCCTTAGTTTGCCGACTTAAACGGCACGATCCCCTGCGTCAATTTGAGACGGGCCCGCACGAAATGATGATTTACGTCCATTAAATGCCAATGATGTGCTGAAAGTCGAGATAAGCATAAAAGCGTCCCACCAATGCCATGGAAGATCCCTTTAACGACGCAATTAACGGGTTGAATTTATTTAAACCATCTTGCATTTGGGGAACTTTTCCAGAATGCCCGTTTTACTATGACGCTGTTATTTGATTTCATGGAATGCAGGCGCCTCAGTCCATTTCATTGCACATCGAAAGTTATAAAACGGGCATTCCATTTTGAAACCAAGAACAATAAAATATCATTCAAGGCAAATAATTTCATTTGTTCTGTTATGGGATCGAACAATGGTTCAATCAGTGAAAAGTTGCTGGAGCGCTACTGCTCCTGCCCAAAGACCGGGTCCATAGTCTGTGCTCACTGCACAGCGCCATAGAGCGCGGCAGAGCCGGACCGCGCACATGAATCAAACGACTAATGAGACGAAAAATCGCCTTCCGCCCGGCACTCGCATTTTCCACTGCACTGGCAATGTTGAGATGTTACTTGCGCCCTTGAAATGACTTTCAGACGGTGGCGAAACGTGACTTTCATAAATGGTCCTGCGCAGAACTGCGAAAATTCCTTTCCATAGTAATGTCGGATGGCTCTGCCGTCTCTGGAACGCTGCCATTAGCGTTGGTACCCATAAGGTACCAACGCACAGACACTTGCCAAAAAGTTCGAGAGGACATGTTTTGGCCACCTGCGAACGCCTTTACTCAACGCTGTTAATTTAGAAACGCATAACGTTAGAATCTCCTTACAAATTTTTCTGTAGTCATCGACACGTGAATCAATGACCCATTATTTATTGCTCGTGTGATGAAGATTTATGTGTTTACGAGTGCTTATTTGCTCATCATCGCCGTCAGAAAACATTCCCTTTGTAGGCTACAATGCCGCATAACTGAGCTGGAAATATTTTAAGACATACAATTATTGCACAAAACTCATATTCTCACAACGTACAGGGTGTCCAGAATTTATTTGCCCTCTGTTCATTTAGCTATAATCCACCGTGCGCTTTAACCCTATTCCTGGCGGGCTCCGCCGGGACGCGTATTCGCCAATTGTATTACACGAATCGGCAGACCAATAGCGTGCCTCTTGAGTGACGTCAGCGTGGCGTCATAGTTTTGGTCCTCGCCCTTGGTGGCGTCTTTTGAAGCTAGGTTTTACTTTAACGATATTTAAGCTACCTGACATATATTGTCGCCGTGGCGAAGTGTTTAGAGTATCGGACTGGTGATTCAGAGGTAGGTGGTTCGAATCCACTCGGCGATTTCGTTTTTCGTGTCATCTGTCATAAGTCATTGAGCGTTTTTATACATTTGCAACGGCGTGCACCTAAGAAATCAGACGTAGGCATTCTTCTAATGAATATGTTGCATAAGATAGATATTTGCAGCCCAACCGATTGGTTCGGTTTCGGTAGGTCCAATGGTCTTTGTTTGTATTTGGTTTGGTAGCGGTGTTCTGATTTTCTGTGATTGACATCACTAATGCATAGTGCATACTATGCGAACGTAGCCAATGGAAAGACAAATGGTGCTGGGCGATGGCCATTCATTGATCAATATTTTCACTGCCAATGGGTGATAGCACGCAGCATTGACAGGGGCGGCGCTGACCTTTTGAAAGTAGGTGGGCACTTGGCAAGGTAAAGTACCTAAAAGTAGCGAAAGCTAAGATGAAAAGTAAAAATCGCACGCTGGTTAGCAGGCTATTAGATAGTTTTTCGTGTAAGAATTACCACGCACAAAAAAAGTTCGGCATAGCTGTTACTGTTAGCGTAATCACGGGACGAGATTTATCAGTTTCCAGCCGTCAGAGCGTCATCTATAGGAGCTATGCCCTAACTATAACTTTTACATTTCAGCCGCCAGGGGGATACCTAAGTCCCCTTACTTGGAATCTAGTTAAAGTCAAAAAGATTTATATTAGACGTTTATGAAGATAACTTGGGACTGGTTGTTAAGTTGCATGCTCACGGCGGGCTGTCATTAATTTATCTCTATACATATCTTATCTGATCGATGAAATAATACAGGAATCCGTTGTCATTCGAGTGTGTTTCATAATAGCTCTTCCGACTTTGACGAATATCGACAGTGCCGTAACAAAATTGGTAGTTCAGGTATAGACTGCAACTGCAGTTCTTTTGCAACTTATTCCTTAATCAGATGAATACTTGTCAGAGATTTATTGGGCGTACGATATTGGCGTGCGAACGTAGGGGCCAAAAATGCGCGTCTACGACCGACTTCTACGACCGAAAAGAACCGCTAAAGCAAGAATCGATCCACCGACCTTTCATCCATCACACCGAGACCCTAACCACTCGGCTACGGCGACACGTCCATGTCTTATAGCCATATACAATTGCCAAAAAACTCTCAACTCAAATCTAGCCTCAATGCATGCATCGTCGCGGCGGATGGCTATGACGTCGCACTAGAGATGTCGCTAGTTGATGAGCCGATTCGTGTAATACAATTGGCGAATACGCCGCCGGGACAAGAAACTGGCGGGGGGGGGGGGCCGATTCGGCCCCCCCCCCCCTGAGATCTCGAGAACGAAGCAAGATAGCGACAAGCGGTAAACGGCATCGGATACGCACGGCCAAGATCTACAATTTTTACTAAGGTCATTTTCAGGCCAGGTCAAAGATGACGTCACAGGGGTCGAAAAAGTCAAAATGGCGGCACTAGATATGGAGAGAGTTTTTCTCGAATAACTTTCGAATTAGTCAAGATAGGAACAAACTAAGGGCATCATCGTGATCCTCTCGTCAATCCGCATCGAATGATATATATGTTGACCTCGAAAGGTCAAGGTCAAAGGTTGACCTCAGGTCACGTGACCTCGAGGTCATCATGTATATCATTCGATGCGTCTTGACGAGCTGAACTTAATGAGACCATCCACGCGTCTGTATCTTGTTCCTGTACGGAGTTATTGGCCAAAAACCTTTGGTGACCTTTGATGACGTCACATGACCTCACAGCTGCCCAACAGCAAAACAGACCTCAAGGTAGTGAAGGTTGATCGTATATGAAGTCATGTATGGTATATGGGGCCATTCCGACCCGTTTTAGTGGTAAAAACAGGGAGTTGATTTTTCCCCCATTGACTTATAATGGGGAGGTCGCGAAATTGACCTGACCTTAGGTCACCGATATCAAAATTCCGAGATATACAAATTGCACATACTGGTACCCTAACTAAACCCTGAAGAGAAGAAATTGATCGGTCAAAAACTCTAGCTCTGGCGTGATTGCAAACTTTTCTGAGGTAGCGTCACCAAACCGCCTCTGGTGACCTGACCTGAGG